ATCTCATTTTTACAATTGATCTTGTGTTGGGGATCTTTTAATCTTCACTCTACTGAGAATTTAGCCTTATTCAGATGAGACAAACATAGTTATATATATATATATATATATATATATATATATATATATACACACAAAAGCACTGCTATTTTTATGCTTTTATTTAGTCATGATGATGTGCTTCGTTCATTATTTGCTCCCTTGTTAAAACCCAAAAGGGAAACCACCTTCCAGGTTCAACCTGTTTGCAAAACCAAAAGTAGTCCCACACACACTACGGTTCAAGCAGTTAGAAAATAAGGTGTGCTTTGGTAAATATCTACATCTTTTTAAATGAACAGTTACCTAAAACATATTCATAAAACATTTTTATGTGACGGCCCCCTGAACCGCAAGTTTACAGAAGTGAAAGCGAACCAGAACAGAGAAATGAGCCACAATGACATCATCACTGATGTCAGTGTTGACGCCGACATGCATCCAGTTTATGTTCAGGTTCCAAAGGTTTTTTTTTTTTTTTTTTTTTAAATGATGACTAACTTCCAAGTTCTCAGTCGATGTACGATGCAAACCCCAGTTTTAAGCTAATAGCCCGTCTCTCCTTCTCTAATTATCCAAAACAAACATTCACTGATGCTTGTGCAAACAGCAAACGGAGCCCACTTCCTGCGAATCGCAGATTTTCTTCCTGGGATCGCCGCAACGGCTACTGTCTGCTTACAGCAGCAAATATGAAAACCATCATTACTGAATCACTGGATGACATCAAAGGTGTCCATACAAAGGAAGACGGTGGACTGCTTACAGTTGTCGGTTTTCATGGAACTGGAGTCAGATCAGTACGCAGCAGAGGAAACGTCAGGCCTCCATTTAAAAAAAATTCTGCTGCGTTGGCAGGAGTGGGACTTTAGTTCGCCTGCTTCTAGTCCCTCATTGTTCCTTTTCATAATATGATTTCACTGTGGCTCAGTTAAACCATAAATCTTATTTAAACATGCAGCTCTGAGATGTTTATGCTTCAAAACTCTAGCTTGTTTTCATACCACTATTCCCAATACAGTACTTTAGCTTAAAATGATATTCTCTAAAATCACAACTAATATCCTCGTTTGGTTTCTCACATAAAGACGCAAAGTTGCGAAAAATGTTGCATAACAAATATAGCAAAATCTGGGCACCAATTCCAAATGACTCACATTATCCCCCCCCCATAATCCCTCTTTCTCACAAATAAGCAGCATAAACACACTTGAAACTTTTGAACTCCTCTGAAAAGTGCGGCATGTCTTTTCCTTAGATAAACTTCCACACAGGACATTGCTGCCACTACCATGTTTTACGGTGGGAAGGGCACATTCAGGGTGATGAGTTTTGCTAGGTTTCCTAAACGCTCCCAAAACGTTCAGTTTCTTCTTTCCTCCTGCACATTTTTGCTATGTTTCGTAGATGACTTGTAGCCGTTTCTTGTTTTTAACTCCAACAACGTCTTTAATATTGCCCCTTTTTCCGATAAAGGCCAGATTTGTGGAGTGCATTGCTAATAGTTTCACTGTCAACAAATCTTCCCAACCTTAGAAGGTGGATTGTTAGCTTTCTTGTGTTTTGTGAATGTTATCTTCTTCAACATTTGAGTCACCGTTGTCATCTTCTTACTTTTATTTTCTTCTCCACTTTCTTTTTTGGGGAAGGATTCCTTCATGTGACTAAAGAATGCAGTTTTAGAATCGTTCCACCTTTCGTTCGCTGGGCTTTCTCTTCTTGGAGCCTCTTTTGTGAGCGGCGTGATGAACCCTTTGCTCTGAAATCCTCTGTTTGTGGGTAGAGCTGGATAATGACACGTCTGCTTCCTGATCTCTGCTTGGCTTACAGTTGTGACCCAGCGTGTCTTCATGTGGAAATCTTGGTCGTTTTTAACGCTGTTCAGCTCATAACCGTATTCAAACCTTTTAACTTCTCAAACCTGTTTGGATTTGTCTTAACTGTATAAAGACGAGTAGTTATTTTTACTCGCTATCAGGAGCTCCTTTAACAGATCCTGCTGGTTCACAACACCAAAGCAACATTTGAGGTGGTCACCAGTCATTCAGCCTTGATCAAGTTTTTAAGCTTTTTTAAAAAATAAAAAAAATGTAAAAATGCTCTAATAAAATATTTTTATAGGCCCTTTAAATCACCTTCAAAACTCTGTGCTAGAGGACAACATATTTATGTTGCTAGCTAAAGAGGTATTGTGAAAATGCATACATATATTAAGGTCCTCATGGTTTAATGTATACCTAAGTCTGTCTGTATGTTGACCTTTCATAATGTTCACACTTTATTTTTCTTTCTTACTCCAGATTTTAGACTCAGCAGACATGGGAACAGTCAGCATTTCTCAAAAACCTAAGTTGCTTATTACCCTGTTGAAGCAATTAACCATTTAAATTGTTTCAGCCATTGACAACACCTTGTGTCTCCTGTCAATCAGCCAGGTGCAACAGCTCAGTGAGGTGCATTGGGTCTGCACCTTTTGTCAACCGGTGAAGCAACTGGTGGGCCGGGTGGGTTGGTTTGCTTTACAAAACCACATAAACGGTGCATCAGTTGTTGCGTACCTACAGGAAGCACACTTCCACCTTCTGACTGAAATAAACCAACAAAATGATGTTTTTTGCATGGCAAGGATGTTTTAAAAAATAATAAGGTCAGTAAATTGACAGATTTTGAAAAAAACAAACAAACAAACAAAAAAAAACCCCCAGCAGGTAACCTCTAGCACTTTTATTTATCAATAGCTAATGAAATAATACGCTTGGATCGTTGCTTTCCATTTAAGAAGAAACTCCCACACATCTCGTTCCTGGATGATCGGCCAACAGTGTTCTGTCCACACTCCATTTTTAAATCTGCACTTATTTGCATATGTAAACTTGTGCAGGTATTTGTTTTTAGAAGTACAAAACTTAACTGTTCCATATTTTTTGGCCAGGGGTCATTAATACCGCCGCATAATCCAGCTCCTGACTCTCTGCAGGTCACATGAGTAGTTATGTTTATGTCAGACCAAAACTACAGAACAGAGGAGAGGAAATTTATGGAACAAAACAAAACAAAGCAGGGATTGCCACCAAGATATAAAGCGAGCTGGGTGGGGGACCTGCATAAATATGACATATAAGACTTGTTCAAGGGTATTATTATTATTTTCTTTCTTTATTCATTTGTGTGTGTGAGTGTGTGCCACAGGTTGTTTTTGACCCCTTATTGCAGTCCCCACATTCAAAACTTTGTCATGTTTTTTTTTAACAAACTGAAATACTGTAAAACTTCAAAATATACTCCAAAATCAAATAATTAGTTTGAGTAAGACTATACCATATCTCCTAAAGTGTGTATTTTAGCCTTAATTAATTTGTGAATTAAACAGCTGCCTAACATTTTAAATGTAACAAGAAAAAAAAGGATGATTCTGTTTTTTTTCTGTGTCCTTCTATCCCAAAAGTGACCGCCCCTCTGCCACTTTAAAGCTGCAGTGAGTCAGTCAGTGAAGAGTTAAAGGTTGGAGCTGGCAGCAGTCTGCCCTGTGCGTCCACGGTATTTAGCAGGAAAAAGTCAGACTCCTGCTCGCTGTCCTAAGCTAGGTTTGTGTTTTGTTTTTGTTTTTTCCTCCTCATTTTGCTGCAGAGCCGCCGAGGTGCGACGGCGACAGCAAAGTAGCTCGTCGTGTCACCGTGCGCGTTTAAACAGGTACGTCACTGTTGTTTCACGACGTTTTTCCATCAAACTCTCAGCAAACATTACAGGTTGTTGGTTTATTGATACAGCAGGGCTATAAACGTGTCTGAGTTGGTCGTTCACGGTTTCTGCTGTGACGAGTGCAAGATATTTTTCCTTTTAATTATTTTTGAACCTTCATAAAACCTTGTTTTTCACTTAAAATGTATCCAGGCATCTCTTTGGAAGGTTAAACCTAATGCATCGTTTTCCTCTGACTCATAACATTTCCTACAGCCTCTGGTCTAAGCGCGCACCCTTTTGTTTTTTACCTCAAGTACTTCATTTAATTCTGAGAGAAATTCAAAGCTGTAAAGGTGTATTTTTAACTACGCACCACCTCGGAGAATTAGTTTAAATTCTAAAGGCATTTTTGGAAGTGACTGCCCTTTGTGTGCACAGCGGGCCCTGTGGTATTTCACCATCTCATTCATTCGCAGACTGACTCATTCACTGATTTCCTCCAGATGTGCAGAAGTTTACGTTTCCTGATGGCCCTGCATTGTGACACTTCTGCACTCAGCACTGCCATAATTCTGCTGACACAGAGATTTACGCTTGTTCTTTGTGGTCAAGTTTAACTTGTTGTGACACCAGTACGTTTAGAAAAAAAAAACCTTCCAGACTTTAAATTTTCCTCCTGACAGGCACCCCTTGAGATTTTTGTTAAAATGTAACTGTTATATCCAGGAAGTGCTGACATTACACCAGTTTTATTAGGCTCTACCTCCAGTCAGAGGGACTTCTGCCATTGCTGTGCTTGATGGCCAAGAACAATCATGTGTCAGGATTATCTGAGTGATGCATTAACAAGCATTCGAGTTTGCCTTCAGCAGTTTCCAAGCACAACAAAATCAACACGCGTCAGTGGCCTGCAGTAATTTACATGACAAATGATGGGGGCAAACGCATCCTGCTGTGCCATTTGTGTTCAACACCATCACTGGTAGATAATGCCGAGGTTTATTGTTTTACAGTTCTGCAGTAGCTGTTGTAAAGAACTGCACAACTGATACTTTTTTCTTTTTAAACCAAGTCAGCTGTGGGGCCTTCCACCCCTCCTCTTTGTATGATCAGGTGTTGCTCATTGCCAGATGATTATTGGCACCAAGCTGCAGCACATTTGCTGACTGGCAGGTATGCCGTCTTTTATCTCTCTTGGTATCAGCCTCATTTCCTCTGCTCCCAAACTTATCTGGTTTTGATAAGTCTGACATTCCTTCTCCAAGGCTTAAGCGTAAGAGGACTGTGGGCAGCCCATCATTCAGAAGGCACCAATTTCCTCTTGTTCCTGCTCAGCTGGGCATCACGAGATCCCTTACTCTGCTAGCGTAAGATTAACCTTAGGTAATTGCTCAACCTTTGGCCGTTTCCAACCTTTGGTCTGCTCCACGGTAGTCACGGGCTCTTTACATCCACGCTTTAACCAGTGTTCCCTCTGGAGCTGGTCCTTGAGGTATGTCTGTCTACTGGGAACGGCAGGATTTGTGCCAGATTTTTCAGTGGCTTTGTGAGCTTTCTGTTGTAGCTGATTGCTTGTAATTGTGTGTCTTCTACAGTGATAATTTGACTCTTTAGGCGCCTCTGTGCTGTTACAAATGTAAATCATTTGTGTGGGTACCACAGATTGACTAACTTCTGCTGCGTTGCTTGTTTTCTGGGTCTATGGTTTGACTGAACATGGGTAGAGTTGGGACTTTTCTTCAGCATTGTTGTTTCTGGCAAACTTTTGGTCCCTCTGTACAGTCGAGTGCTTAGGTGTATAATGAACCGTCAGGATGGAGTTTAAGATGTCAAAGCACATGGTTTTGGCAGCATTGTATTTCTAAATATTTCACTTTAAGCAAACTATTGCAATGCAAAATTGCATTTTAGTTTTTTCCCCTTTTTTAAGGGAAGGTCAAAGTATCTCGTGGTCTTGAGTTTTTTTTATTGGTCATAATGGCTTGTTTCTGATGGGTGTTTTATGTGGTTGTAAACATTTTATTGCATGTGGCTTAATTTGCTCTTGAGCAATTGAGTGAAGCTCTTCATCAATTTCTTAACTACAGTCTAATGTCCTTTTTTTTCTAGCAGACTTACCAGGAGCCCTTAATTACATCTTGTATTTTCCACCAATGCTTATCGCTGTCCACTTCACTTTTTCTACTCCAGACGAACAAAAAGAGAAGGATGAGTGGGTGTTAAGTCATATGCCTGGTTGACGCATCTCTGCTTTGCAACACTGAGCTGCAGCCTGCTTCGCCTAGGATTGTCGCTTGTCCCGTAAAGTTGGACCCCTTCACGCGATGTCTACAGAGGTGGAAAACGGTGTGCCAGCAACCGCTGACCCAAGTTCCCCACCCACAGCCTCAACCAACAGCCCACCCCCTTCTCCTCTGACGACCACACCCAAGGGCCTGTTGAGAAAAGAAAAGAGGAAAGGTCAGTTGAATAACTTTAATACTCGGGGTTCTTAATGAGCCAATTTTAAAAGGGAGTGGCGTTTTCAGCATGCCAGAATAAAGGCTTGTCACTCTACAGACCTCGCTCAAATGGTGCTAAAGGATGTTCACTGGGGAATAAAAAGCTTGTGTAAATTCTAGGAACACTAATGGATTTTAAACCATGAGTTGATACGATCTGTATGCCATTCATTTGATTTGGGTGTGGTGGAACAAGGAGGAATCTGAGATTTTTTTTTAACACAAACTCTTTCTTTGCCCTCGTTTGCTAGCTACACAGCACAACTACTTTCTGTAGCCATTACAATGATGCTATTTTATAATCAAGCACTTGTGATATTAAAAGTGTTTGAAATCTGACTTTTCAACTAGAAAAGTTGGTACAGAGTATTGAGCACCTGCAGCCAGAAGAAGCTAGCAAGCTAACGGGCTACAACCCTGACTGTTGGCGAGACGATGTTTGAGGACTGCTTGTTTGTCCTGAGAAATGTTTTTAATGGTTATGTAGCAATTTATTGTGCATGTATGAGATTTAATTTCCTGAAGAGACTATTTTGTGGGTGGTCACTTGCTATGCACGAAGAACCACAAGTCTTGCTAATGGAACATAACAAAATGCACCAATGTCTGAATTTTGCAGTTTGGCTTAAATTCCTAATGTGACAAGGAGGCTTGCATAGTAAAAAGACTTTCACACAAACATTTCAATCAACTTATGTGTCAGATATCAATACTTTATAGTTCCAGTTGTATTTAGCACCTGTAAACCGGTACTACCAGTTTTTGCTTTCTCTGAAAGACTTGTGACCCATTACATGCCTTTTGCAGCCTTGGTCCACCCAATGTCTGGGTAATGCCTGCAGCCTACAACAGGATGTGTCCTGTTTGAATTTGCAAGCAACAATTACAGTTGATTTCCTGTACTATGCGGAACCGTTCAACTCATAAATTTTCTACTAGCAGGAAGTGGCTCAGTTGCTCTGGGCTCATCAACACTCAGTCCAGCAAACAAAATTGGAATTAAGAGTAATTGAAACAGTCTTTGTCTTTGGAGCTAATGCACAATTTGAGAAGTAGCATTTTTGGTCTGTTTGAAACTGCTTGACAAAATGCTAAATGTGTAACAGTTTAATAATAAAAGCAACATTTTCCTGTCTTTAGTGATAGAGAAGACAGATGAGTACCTCCTGAGCAGGTTTCAAGGGGACGGTGTGAGGTACAAAGCCAAGCTCATCGGTATCGATGACGTCCCCGAGGCCCGTGGAGACAAAATGTGCCAGGATTCCATGATGAAGCTTAAGGTACAGCTGGGGTCAAATGATTTTTAAACTTTTAAAATTGTTGCTGTGTGCTTGTGGTGGACTTTATGAACAAATTTCCTGCAACGGAACAAAATTTGTTTCTTTTCTTTTCCCCTGCAGGGCATGGCGGTAGCTGCTCGGTCCCAAGGCAAGCACAAACAGAGAATCTGGGTCAACATTTCCATGTCTGGTATAAGGATCGTTGATGAAAAGTCAGGAGTGAGTCTAGTTTAATGTTGCAGGTGGAGGATTACTATGTGCATTTCAGATAACTCACTGTAATTTATTTTTTCCCCTTTTATCAGGTAATTGAACATGAGCATGTGGTGAATAAAATCTCCTTCATTGCCAGAGATGTAACAGACAACAGAGCGTTTGGATATGTATGTGGGGCTGAAGGACAGCATCAGTTCTTTGCCATAAAAACGGCACAACAGGTAGCGACATGAGTTGCAGATCAGTAAATCTAAGATTCACACAGGCAGCACTGAGACTTAAGTTTTCTGTGGACTTGTGCAGGCAGAACCTTTGGTCATTGATCTGAAAGATCTTTTCCAAGTAATCTTCAACATGAGGAAGAAGGAAGCAGAGTCCTCAGAGAAGGTAACATTTTAGCATTAAGCTGTAACTTCCTCTGCCACCCTCTTAAAGTTGGGCACTGTCTGTTTCTTTGTGGAAGTAAACATTTTCTTAATCTGTCAGAGCTGCTAAGATGCAATCTTTTCTGTACATACCTCCTGAAAATCAACAGTGCCTCTCGATGTTCTGTCAGGGAATTGCATTCTCATTCACTGAAAAGGTTCATGTCAGCAAAATTTATCGAAGGTATAATAATTGACATTGTGACTCTCTTCACAGGCTCAAAATGGCTCGGCAGTTGCAGAGGTAAGCTCCCTAAAGCTGCTTGTTTTCAGAAAAGTTAGACTTTCTCTTAACATTCTCCTCTCTTTTTAGAACTGTGACAATGAATCAAAGCCTGCACAGGTAGGAATTCCTGTGTCTGGGATTTATTTTTATTCTCTCTCCCCCCCGCCTCCGTTTGTTTACTTTAATATTTGTGTTTAATTTCCAGCCAGTGGAGCAGCTCGACCTTTTTGGAGACATTAAAACTCCCCCAGACATCAGGTCTCCAGAAGTAAGTTTGTAGCTGCTGCAAACTCTATTTTTGGAGTTGTATTATGGCATCTTGATATTAAAACTTTGTATCGGTGTGCCACCGTCTGTCATAACACTTGCTTAAAAATCCAATGATTTTAAAATGGCTTTACTGGACATCAATGTTTTTGTTTAATATTTAAATGCCATACTAATTTTTTTGTTTCTGGAGTGAATCAACCTGTTTAAGAATTTGGGTAATTCACCCTTTACCAATCTTTTGGTTCGTCTTAACCTTAAAGCTGCTACAAGTTTCTTTTTTTTTTTTTTTTTGTGTGCCTTGAACATTTTTAATATGCTGCTTCTATAAACTACCAGTGTTTTTATTAACATAAACAAAAGTAAAACACTTGGTGCATGATTTTTTTTTTTTAATTTAAAAATGAAAGATATTTTCCAAAGATCACTAAAAGTATTCCTACTCTTTGAACTTCCAAATATTGAGGAGGTCCACTAGAGTGTCACTACATGCATACAGCTGTTTTTGTGACTGCTTTGTATTCTAATCTGGAGTCTTAGGCAGGATTTAAAAATGATCATTTAATTTGTTCAAAGAATTAAGATTGTGGTCTTAAACTGTGCAAAGCTGGTGGCGATTTGGCCAATCTGGTAATTGCTGAATAGAAACGCACATCACACTGCTGTGATTATTTTCCTTCTACTTTACAGTAACACCAGACTGTCATCACATAATCTCGATTCAATTGAAAGCCTTTGTGGACACATAATTCTAGAGACCTTTTTTTGTCACCTCCGTACTCCGCTTAAGTGAGTTTCTGGCCTAATTGCCAAATGGATCTGCACACCAATAATATTTAGTTAAAACTTGACTTGTAGCAGCTTTAAATAACCCGTCTCTCTCACCATGTGATTGTTCATATTGTTAATATGCACTCTCTGAAATTGATTCATTGATCTCTCCTTCTCTCACTGTCCATGTTAACCAGGAATCTAATGACATTCTGTTGCTGGACTTTTCTGCTGGAGTTGACAGCAATCAAAATTGCATGAAGGATTCCTCTTTTCTGAACTCCCTTGGCCCCGACTATGAAGCGCCCACAAATTCTAAAAATACATCAACTTTTGGCTACTTTCCTGCTCCAGATAGTGACCCATTTGGAGATGACCCCCTTTGTAGTCAACCCAATAGTTTTGTACCTCATAATGCACATCAGCCACCTACAAATAGTCTCGTTTCTTCTGACACCGTTAAGACAAATCTTAATGGTTTAAGTGGAGAGACTGGGCAAAATCTGCAGATGAATGAACTATCCAGTAAATCAATGATCCTTGCACTCAATAATGGACAGTGGCCACTAGGGGGTAGTATAACACAAGGCACTGGGATAACGATGATGGACGGGAATGAATGTCAACAAGGAATCTCTGCCAAAAACCCATTTTTTGACTCCTCTTTGAAAACGTCCCCTGTCTCTTACAACATAAGTAACCCAGAAGCACCGGTGACCCATAGCAACGACTCTGTTGTCATAAGCCCGCCTCCACAGAACTTTAAGTCTGGACGAGGTCGAAGGAACACAAAGGTGAAACCACACAGCCGGTAGTTACAGTGGGGTTGCATGAGACTGGGTTCACGTCTAACATCACCTTTTCACGGTTCTGTTGGGTACGAGGACAGTTTGACTGCCTGTGTGTGGATGCCATGCAAGGCCTCAGTGACTTCTGAATCTTTCAGGAAATGTTCTCTCTCTGTGCTTGCACTGGTGGTTTGATCCGTCTTTGAAACGCTGCATTTTGACTCTGCTGCTGAACGACCACTTTTTTTTTTCTTCCTTTCACCTTGGCTCTTAACCTATTTTTCTAACATTCATGCTTCAAGTGACTAAAGAGCACTGGTAAGTTTTGAAGCATGTTTACACATCAGTAATCAGGGTTTTATTTTGAGCATGCTAGATTACATTTGAGCAGTTTTGGGTAAATATTTTGGCCTTTCTGTGTTGCGGAGCAAAATCCCTCATTGGTATCTTTGTGTAACTAGGCTGGGTCAAGTGATCTGTTTGGTGCAGACCTATTTGGTGCTTCTTCTGAGACGTCTCCAGCTGACATTTTCAACAATACACCTACAAATGTTGTTCCTTCATCCATGGCTGCTCTGGGTAATGAGCTTTGTTTGTGCTCTCCCAAAGTTTGGGTAAATTTACTGTGAACTTACTACTTTCTTTTATACATCCAGGCAATCTTCAGTTGGGTCCACCAGCTACAAGTGTACCTGCTATGGGTGTGTGGGGTTCCTCCCCTGCTCCAGCCACAATGTATCACATGCCAGGAATTGCTGCTCCTGGCCCTAGACCCAACTTTGTGCAACCAGCTCCCTTTGCCGTTCCCATGCAGCCCCCCGCCTGGGGTCCGCAGGTGGCGCCTCAGTTTAGTTCCCCACCCCTCTCTCCACCTCATCTCCAGTGGGCTCTGCCGGCTCCCTCCAATCCCTTCCAAACAATGGGAGACCAGGGTCTGTCACGCCCCCCTCCAAGGCCGCCTGCTAAGGAGACCCCGGCCCGAGTGGAAAACAGTGCCTTCACTGCTTTGGATCCTCTTGGCGATAAGGAGAAGAAAATTGGGAAGGACATGTTCAAGAACTTCCAGCTTGCCAAACCTCCTGCTATCCCAGCCAGGAAAGGGGAAGTTGCATCAAGCGCTGCTGCACCCACTGTCAAAGAGTCGGGGGCATTCGATGAATACTTTTCCAATAAAGTGGGTGTGGCCCAGGAGGCTGCAGACCATGATGACTTCGACATCAGTCGGATGTCTTCGCTTGCTAATAATGGTAAGATGGCTCAGGGTTTTAAAATAAAGGAATAATTTGGATTTGTTTTTTGAAGTGAGATTGATCAGTAATGGTTCCCTTATCTGTTTGTACAGTATGGGATTTCCTCTAGAGTGGGTATAGTTGAAAACTTCAGAGTCCATGCTAACAAGCAATTGTTTCTCAAAAGTAGAGAATCCAGACCCCTTGGTATGAGGCAAAACGTAGAACAAAGGGCTGGACTTTTCCTGGTTATGTTCCAGGAAAACATCAATGCATAGATTGACCAGATCCAATCTATGCATCTTGAGTTTTAGATTGTCTGGAAGATGGAGACCTGAAAAATGACAAACGTACCATAATTTGTGCTGTTTCATAATTATTGTAAGGGGAGAAAAAAAAACTCCTGAAACTGGGGCATTTGGGTCACTAGTTAGTCTTTCAGTACTCTAAGGCTTTTCAGAGACCAGAAATGAAGCCATTGCTGTCCTAGAACTTCATGCAAACCATTTTGCTGTACATTCTAAGAAACCAAAGTTTCTCTCTAGATGCTGCAAAGCAAGTACCTGTGCAAACTCCTGCTCAAAGTTTGACTCCTGGCCTCCTTGATGCTGCCTTCTCTTCTGCTCCAGTTCCCAATAATTCAGCACAAATGCTGGGGCAAGGCTTCGGTCAGGACATGTTTGATAAAGCCTTTGGCGCCCCGGATCCTAATCCTTTTGGAGTGCCAATGGTAAGGAAACTTGTTCATTAAGACATTGCATTCTCTCAGATACTCTTGGTGATAAAACGCATTTCTTTGGCAGAATACAGTTGTTCAGGCCTCTGGTTCCACAGATGCCTTTGGAGATGCATTTGGTAATCCTTTTGCTTGACCACAGGTTGGCCCATGAGTAAGTACCTGTTTGCTTGTTCCTTACATCATAAGGGAACGAACCTAACTCCTTTCTTTTTTTTATGCCTTACAGTGAAAGGAACTGCAGGGCAAACGAAGCTCTCCACCTCAAACTTATCTTCAGGACAAGCTGCCCTGTGCAAGACAATCCAAATGAACTCTTATTCTTGTCCCTGAACCACCTTTTTTTTTTTTCTTCTCCCCAACACACCATCCTCTGACTCTTGTTCCTGTTGACTGATCCACTTGGTAAATGTTTTGGTATGATTTTCTGATGAAATGTTTGTTTAAATGTTCACTGCTAATGCTATCTTTATAAAAGAAATAAATCAAATTGTGCAGTAAATTGTTTGCCCTGTTGCTTCCTTTGCAATGATTCAAAGAATCAAGAATTACAATTGGCTTATTTTCTATCCTACAAAATCTGAAGTGAGTTGACTGGTTTGCTCTTTGAGAACATAGACATTTGTATTAGATTTTTTTTCTCTCCTGTATTTTAAACCTTTATGCTGTCCTTCAGTCTAAAATTTCTAACAATTTCAGCAAGAATTACAATTTCTAAAGGCAAAACTGACTGAATATTGACGCCATCAAAATCACATGGGTTGAGATGGAAGATTTTGTACTTCATTTATTTTGAGTGGTACAACACAGATATAGAGTACTGCATTTTGTCAACCAATCTGAGTGCCCTGTGATGGCCTGGTGATCTGTCCAGTGTGATCTCTGCCTCTCATTCGTTGACTGCACCCCTCCAAACCTCACAAGGGATAAGGGTGTAAGATGATGGCTGGACCCAATCTGAGCCTGGAGCCTTGTCTCCAGCCTCAGGTACTGCACTACAGATTATCCCCTGCAGCAGAGCCTGCTGTGGAAGTGCAGGCCAGTAAGCATGCCAAATGATGAAAACCTTGTTTCTTGGCCATTTACACAGTTGAAGAAAACCGATCTTAAGCTTGTGAGTAATTCATTCACACCCATGATTAACAGTGAGACCTGATTCTTATTTTGACAACCTTTATTTTTTTTCCATGTTCCGTCTTGTGCCATCAGGACACTTGAAAGTTTTAACATGGGTAAAATATTATAAAGGTTCCCTACTGCAGTTTTGCCTACATAGAATGTTCTGTGCCTTAATTTATTTTTTTTCTATCCCTGACTTATTTTTCAGTAAGCTTTTAATTAATTTGCTTGATTATATTTGGCTTTTAGTACTCATGCCATAAAGTTAGCTAGTTATACTGATTAACAAGCGACTGGACTGTCCCAATTTACATTGTCTTCAGTCGCTGCTGATTTTCATTTTGAGACAACTGGCTGTACCTCTGAATTAAGAGTCATTAATATTTATGGAATCATCTTAAATGGTTTTTATAGAAATCAACTGGTCAATTTTATGGATCATGATTTGTAAAAGTAAAACATCCAAGCAGATTACATCACCATGGTGTGACAGAAACTACGCACAAAACTCCTTCCTCTAGTCTCTGAACTGTGACCTGGTTGAAGCGATTTGTCTCCAACTACTGCTACCGATAAGTTTGTAGAAAGTCTGCAATGAGGTGTGACATCTCTGGTATACATGCTTCATAATGCATGCACTTGGAGAAACATTGAGTTTCTCTAATTGGTCTGCTGTTGTGGTTTTAACAGTCAAGTTCTGACTGTTCTGTCTGCTTTAATGTTTCAAGTAGTTCTGTTCTGTTCTGAGAAACATGCTGTCTACATAACAGGGAACCAAACTGAAGTTAATCAAACACAATTTCAATTATTCTGACGGCCTTGCTTTCTTAGATTTAAATTTTTTTTTTTTTTTTTTCCTGCTGTTGGATGAACAAGTGTCGGTTTGTAACTACAGAAATTGTTGCTGGATGAATGTTTTCATCAGTATTAAGAAAATACTGCAGTCATGCTCATCTAGCGCTGTATCTTTCAAACTCAAAGTATCAATGTGATGGACGAACACAAAGAATATCATCGCTTCCCTTTTTTGAAATCGGTACGATGCATTTATCTTTGCTTTCTTACTCATGCCACAAAAAAACTGCATGTGATTGTAAAAATACGGAAATGGTTGAGATGAACTGATGTTTGGTAGAGCGGCCCAGTTAAAGTCCAAGGTTTTGTGTTGCTGCTGCCTGGAAACCAGCTATACATCTTTCTTGTATTTATGCACCACTTTGTGTTGCTCTAATTTCAAAACACTGATGTTGAAAGGGTTATGGGAACTTCTGCTGCACAATTTTTCAAATATTTCATGATTTCACTCAGTTTGTGTATCTTTCCAATACCAAGTCTTTGGTTGTAGAGTTCAGTCAACTGAAGCTAGTCAGGCAGGATCCAAAATACACTTTGAATTAACAGAGCTTGGCAAGTTTTGGAAACACTTGAGGTTTTTCTTTTTTGTAAATTGTGTCAAAAGGTTGTTCATACAATTAACTGAACAAGGTTGCATTGTGCTTTGCTGAAACAATACAAACAGCATTTGAGAAAACTGTTTGCACATCTGAAAACTTTGCTCAGTTGTATAATACTGAGCCCTAATAATGGATTCCAGTTGCTGAAAAACATTTACACTAGCTTTTTGTTCTTTAGACACTTCAGCTGATGTAAAAAATTAATCTAAATAAATATAATCACAAGTCATTTTACATATTGCTAAGCTGAGTGCAAGCATTGTATGTTTTTGTTTTATTCTGAAATTGTTTAGTTCCTGTCTGGAGTGATTACTCATAAAAAATGAGTAAGAAACGAGTCTTTTTTTTATTTCGTTAGAAAATATTGAAAACTGATTTCATAAAAGAAAATGCACACGTGCATTTCTGCAAAAGTTCCTATTAAATTTGCGACATTGCATGTTAATCAGATAATGTTTGTCACTGACCACACTAAAAATTGGCACATTATAGAGGCAAAGAAACTAAAAGTTGTGTATTAAATAGCATTAAATAACTTTTCCATCATTTTTCACTGCAGATAATGTTTAAAAATGCATTCTCTGACATAAAAAGACATTTTAAACACGCTTGAAACAAAAAGCATATATGGTAGTAGAGCATGTTGACCAATTGTAAAAACATTTTAGATTCCTTCAATATATCTTACAAATATTCGCCAGGTGAGATTATTCACAAAAATTGATTTAATAAATGACTTGCTGGATTGCCTGAATTTTTTTTTATTGCATTTCATTTTTGTATAGGAAAAACTGAAAAAGCCCTTTATTCCCTATCCTGTACGTTCAGACACAGTCTTTAGCATCATTAGCAGCTAACGATTAACCTGTTGAACTGTTTTCTGTCTTGTGTGTCACTTTATTGTATCTCTTTTTTTCCTGCTGAGGAAACCCAAATGCCTTACAATTAAAAGTGGCAGGGAAGTGTGTTTAAGACAGCTAGCCAAACGAGATGAATATCAACACAAGCTAGCAAAGCGGTAAATACTACCTTTATAACTTCTACTGGTCATTAAATCAACCTTTTTATATCTGGTACTTATAATAATCACTTTAGCTTACTTTGATAAAGTCCTATATTGACTACAACTGTGAATACAAGACAGTGTTTACGTTGGTTAGACATCTTTCAACTCGATATTCTGCCAATAGATCCTGTCACGCCCCTAGTGGCCATTTAAAAGCACAGCAGAAATAAAGGAGTTCAAATTCAAAATCTGGCTGCTTATGGAAGAGACGAGGTGTCTGTAGTGACTGACACTAATAAACATTTCCACAACAGTAATGATCTACAACTGTAGTTCGGTAGAAAATATTATTGAGGTACTTGGTTAAATTTTTCCAAGCTACACTGCAAAAAACACAAAATCTTACCAAGGAATTTTGGTCTGGTTCCTAGTGTAAATATCCTATTACACTGGAAATAAGACGAAACTGAATCAAAAGTAACTTTTTAGTACAACATGGAGGCTTGTGTTTTAAGTAAATAATAAATAATGACAAAGTACTTATTCTAATGGCAGAAAAATTAACTTATGTGGGGAAAATGTAAGTTTAAAAAAATCTGGCAATGAAACTGGAACTTTTTCATCAATATTAAGGAATTTATCTAAAACAAGCTTTTATATCTTGCTTTAAAGTTACTTGTAAGTTATTGACTTATTTCAAGCTTGCGAAGATATTTGCACTAGAAACTACACACACACAAAAAATACTGGGTAAGATTTTTTTTTTTTGCAGTGTACTGTCTAAAGGTTTTGATAAATATCCAGGTCTTCTCCATATATATCCACAATTTGTTCCTCTAAGTTGACATAGTCCTCCCCGTCGTCACTGCTGTCCTCTTCCTCACTCTGTCCTTTTGTGCCGTCCCTTGCAGCTGCAGGACCCAGAGTGGAATTTACATAGTCATGCTCATCGTCACTGCTGTCCTCTTCCTCACTCTGTCCTTTTGTGCCGTCCCTTGCAGCTGCAGGACCCAGAGTGGAATTTACATAGTCATGCTCATCGTCACTGCTGTCCTCTTCCTCACTCTGTCCTTTTGTGCCGTCCCTTGCAGCAACAGGACCCAGAGTGGGATTTACATAGTCATGCTCATCTTCACTGCTGTCCTCTTCCTCACTGTGTCCTTTAGTGCCGTCCTTTGCAGCAATGGGACCCAGAGTGGTATCGACATAATCATGCTCATCATCACTGCTGTCATTTTTATCCTGTGAAGGGTCTTCGTAGTCGTTTGAATCACTGTCCTTCACGTCCATTTCCTCAGTTCCCAGACTGTTGGTGTTCACCGGCTCAACGTTTACATAGTCCCTCTCTTCCTCTTCCTCTTCCTCATCGTCTATGTAACTGTTTCTAACCGTCACTGCAACATAAGTTGTCATGAGAATAAGCAGACAAAATGGCGCTCAGGTTTTCCTTTTTTACTCATGCTGTAAGACATCAAATGTCCAAAGACTTGGACATGGCCACTCACCTTGATTTAAGACCACGTCACTTGGCTTTTCAGCCCGTTTTCTTCTTCTGCAGACTAGGCAGGCAACCAGCAAAACCATCAGAAGCACCAGGAACCCGGCCAGCAATATGTAAAACAGCAGTTTCCACCACGGTTCTTAAAGTAAAAAAAAAAAAAAAATTTCTTCAAACGTGCATGATGAAAATCGATGTTGTACGCGCTCTTAACACTTCCTCTACGCATTGTCACAATGAAATAAAGGACGCAATCACTTCTACTGTTTTAAGAAATATTTTTTATTTGCAATTATGCTGCTTTTGAAACTGCTGTCTAAAAATAAATGCCTTTCTACCCTCCTGCTCTAATAGGCTATATCTCTGTCCTAAGCTGCTTTCTTACCATCTATCTCACTAGATATGTTCTTGCATCCAAAAAAGTGCTTTATAAGAGTGTTAACCTCAAGAAACGGCTCATTTTAGTCTTGCCTTGGCTTATCTTGATGCTGAAAATATCCTGGAGTTGATTTCACAAGAGCAAAACGACCACGGAAATGCAAGTGTTAAGTGCTGATCCCTGAGGTGAAACTCATCGTGACTTTTGTCGTCTTACCTCTCACAGTGACATGAATCCATCCTGACTCATCAGACTCGTACACTCCATTCACTGTATACCTACAGCTATAGTTGCCCTCGTTTTTATAATCAGCCTTGGAAATGTTAAAATAAGGTGAATGGTTGCTTTCTAATTTTGTAGAATTGCCATTATATTGCCGAAGGAAATAAAATTTCAATTTGCCAGGGATTGAGTCAACTGAGCACTCCATGGAGAAGTTGGAACCCCTGGGGATTTCTGCATGTGACGAGTTAATCGACGTCCCATTAGGAAGTGTCAGTGAGATTCTGGGCTGAGAAATGGCATCTGAAAACAAACAAAAAAGGATTAAATCAAATTCAGTTTTTTTCAATGGAAAACTAACTGTACAGTAGATTCATTATACTGAAGTGAAGTATTGTGAGCCTCGTTTTCTTATTTTGGTGAGTATTGCATACAGGTAAGAAAAAACACAAGCTGAGTGTTTCAGACAATTTGAATATTGAATGAAATCAATAAAAATATTTTAAACAAAAAGCTCACAATTTCCATGCACTCAGCGCCTGGTTGCATCAACTTTTGCATGAATTGCTGCGTCAGTGCAGCGTGACACGGAGGCGATCTGCCTGTGGTTATGCTGAGCTGTAAATGAAGCCCGGGTTGTTTGATGGCGGCCTTCTCGTCTCCATTGTTTACTGTCTCATCTTTCTCTTGAAAATATTCCATAAATTCTCTAAAAGGTTCAGATCAGGCAGTTTGCTGGTCAATCACTACAACACCATGGTCATTGAACCCGCTTGTTGTACCTCTGACAGTGTGGGAACTTAAGTCCTGTCAGACAATAAAATCAGGATCTGTAAAGTTTGTCAGAAGCATAAAGTGCTCTATGACGACCTGGTAGACTTAGAGCACCAGGTAGTTGCTACTAGACGTCACTGCTACGATGTCTAGTCATAGGAAACGTCTATGACTTGACATGTTCACAGTCTGCCACTGTCTCTCTTGACTTCAAACAACACAAATTCGTGTCCAGTCTTCCTCCAGACTTCCAAATGAAATGCAAACTTTGTTTTTATCAGGAAAGTGGAGTTTGGACCACAAAGAAAACATCTAGCTCTTTTTACTCCTCAGCCCAGGAAAAGCACACTTTTTCCGATCAACTCAAATTTCTTTGAATATACCTTGACACAGCACTCAACTAGCTTCTTTATCAATGACTTTTTTTGGTTTAGCCTCCTCTTGCAGGGTGAAAATCACTGTTTTCTGTACAGCTGTGACATCAGCAGTTTAGACTGATCATGTCGCCTACTGACCCAGACTGAGAGACCAATTAGAGGCTCAGAAAACCTTTTGGGTGTGTTTCAGGTTAATTGGCTGATCAGACTGTGACATCACGACTTCACGTTATTGAATTTTTTTGACAGTATTCATGTATTTTTTTTTGTCCAAGACAGAATTTAGCATTTCTGTTATCTGTAATCCATAACTATCAAAATCAGAAGAAACGGTGGTTTGACATGTTTTTCTCTGGGCAATGAACTTATTTCACTCATTTTTGAGACGCACACCTCTACATGAACAATGAAGCTTTTGGAAGTGAGGCTTGAACTATTTTAGGTGAAACTGTATATTTCTTTCCACAAATGGGGGGGGAGGGGAGAATCAAAATGTACAATACCAATCAAAGCTATCCATCTGTACATGCACTCCAAATTCTTAAGACCACTTGGAAAAATGGCAAACATTTACATTTTGCACTGTTGGATCTTAAGAAGACTCTAGGTAGAGCTTCAAAGTGCAAAAAAGAAATGGGAGCGATACAAAAACATTCCGAGTTAGCATTTTTATGCAAACGACCATAAAGCTGAAATAGACTGTTCACCATCTGATCAAAAGTCAAGGAAATTAATTTGTAGAAGAGTAAAAATTAGAAAAGCTTTGCAAACTGAACAGTCAGACCCTATGACTAAAATAATACTCTGTGATGTATATTATAACTCTGAGATGTATATTATAACTGAGCATCTTACTTGAACAGACAACAAACGCCTTGTTGCCAGTTGAGTTCTGGGTCTTGTTATTCATGCGCCAACATTTATCAAAAGAGTTTTCATTTCCCGTACACCAAAAATCGGGGGATGTCGTCTCTGGCTTCAGTGACTCCTGAACTGGTGTCCCACAACTGGTGCTTCTGCAAAGCACTTTGCTGTTGTTGAAGTGCCATCTGTCATCATCGAATGTTTCCAAATTCTTGTCTTGGATTTGAACTTCTCCATAGCACTTTCCTTTACTTTTAAATCTAACAGAAACTGATAAACATGAGATTAGAAAGTACATATATGTGAACTGTGAACACGACAAAACAAATTTGAAAGTACATTTGTGTTTTGAACATGACTGACCTGAAGCAGCATAATGCAAGACACAAATGTGGGCAGCTGTGAACAATTAGCAAAGTGCAGTTATGAAAACAGTATGAAGTTTTATAGCTTCTTTAGTTCAATACACACGTCTGAAAGTGATCTTGACATTTCTAACGAAACAGAGAAATGCTAAAAAGACATCTCACCAATAGCCAGAATAAAGAGGAAGTTCCTCCACTGACTGAGCCCCATGACTGAGACAAAAACCGACTCTCTGAGGAAGTATATGGAAGGCTGTGACAGTAATAAAAACTGAACTGAGATGTGACATCTTTCTCACACTATTTTCCCCCCTCCCCCCCGTGTCTCTCTGACAGAGCAGAAATGCAGGATGTCCCTTTTGCGTTCGGAGATTACAAAGCGGGATCATTTTAAGAATTAAATAATTGACCCAAAAGTTTTACTGTTTGGTTCCAAATGATTAAATTTAAATATCAACCACATTATTCAGCAACGCACAGTAAGGCTCTCTCCTGCTTTGCTATCTTTCATGCATTAGCTTCATCCACGGGAGGAAGAAAAGCAGCAGAAAATGTGTTGAGAGTTGGATAATTGTGACGACAAATGATGCAATTTCCTCCAGATGAGAGCTTCTAAAGCCGTAGCTTGACTATAAATGTCAAAACGCTAACAGACTCCAGGAATTGTCCCCCGTGTTGCCTAGTTGCACAACAGCAAACACAGGTAAATATGACAGAAACAAAAGATAATTCATGGCTGATTTTACATTTATAGATACATCCTTTTATTTATTTATTTTTTAATTGTCGTACTTTTGTCTCCTGATATTAGCTTTGCCACATAGTGATGTTGAGGCTCAGCAGACAGACTGAAACACATCCAGTGGTCAATATTCTTTCTACTTTGCTCATACCAGGTAAGATTTGTTTTAGCAGAGATTAAACAAGGCAATGGGAACATTCCTCCGAGATTTTTGTCAATGTTGACATGGTAGCAGCTCGTAGTTGTTGTACATTTGGAAGCTTATTGTGCATGATTTCTCTGGAAACCCCAGTGGATCAGCAGCCTCTGGGATACAAAGACCAGCCAGTGTGGTCATAGCAACCATGCTGCATTCAGTCACTTAAATCCCTTCTTCCTCCATATTCTGCTTGAAATGAATTTCATTGAGTCAAATCCACCAGACGGCTTGATGGAATGAGTTGCTGCCATGTCAGCATCAATTATTTGTTCAGTCAAAACTAAGATGTTCAATCTTACATAGTTTTCATCATGACCAAAGAACTGCATCATCATTTGAACTTTTTTCTTGAAGTCTTAATCTTCAAATCACTGCCCATCGAGGAGTATTCTATGCTAAAATACCTGCTTTATACACTTTTTTTGTACAGTCCAAAGTCAATTATCGAACATTGACATTAACTTTATTAAATAATAATAATAAAAAAAAACTAATTATACTGTTCCTGCTCTCTGGTGACTGTCAAATGTTCCCAAAGTGTCTTGTCCTTCACTTAACCACTTCATATCCATGGCCTTAACTTCAGTAGTTATGAAATGTTTTGAAAGAATTGCTGTTGAAATGTTTCCGATGAGCAAGACCCCCTGCAGTTTGTCTATAGGCAGAGGATGCTGTCACCAGTGTAATCACTTCATGTGTAGGAGGACTCTAAGGCCGATACACTGGTTCTTTTTGCAGCTTTTGATACAGTCCAGCCTCACTTGATTGTTCTTCAACAATGGTGAAATCTTCAATGAAGATTCATGAGGGTATTGCAATCAAACAGGGGCAATAGATCTTGCAGCACCCGCCTCACATACTGTTAGCATAATTATGAATTATTACCTTTTCTGTGATGTTTCTTATCTTTTTGCAACACGTTTGTATGTTTTACAGTCACTGTAGAATCAGCGGCAGCAAATTTCTTGTAGGGGACAATAAAGTGTGTCTTATCTGCATAATATCGAATCACAAGCATCAAAAGTTTTAAGCTAGCCATCTGGCTTTTGAATGGGTCAGTTTCTTTTTGCACTTCTATCTACCAAATTGAGACGTTTTCTGCAGAAAAGAAGACGGATACTTTTTTGTGGTTTCTCAAATGAAGGCTTCACAGACGCTTCACACCCCACCCACAGTTTCAAGAAACTTCCAAAGGTGTGGCAACATGTAAATCAACAGGAAAGCCTTCACTAATCTCCACCAGATATACCAAATGAATGAATGGACTTCACATCCTATTTCAGGATAATGTCTAATTATAATTTTGCATGAAACGATTGTCAATGTTTGATTGTGTACTTGGGTACAAAAGATAATTTGCTCATTGAATCTGTAGTAAACTCAGATAAAGATCATGCTTAATGTATTATTCTGTATTGAATTTAGCCAAACATGAAAAGAAAAAACAAAAAAAACAAATTTAAGGTAGTCCATAAAACAGGAATTAGCCTCGTCGGTTAGTGAATTGTGTAAATACAACCACAAAGGTGTAGATTTGCATTTGTGTAAATTTACATGTCAGTTGAGGCGCTGATATTTAGGTCCTGGTAAACATGAAAGTGACATAAACATGTATTTTTTTATGACAAGGGTTTGAATTTGTCATGAGTAGTTTTTAGACCAGCTTTGCACATTACATCCAGTAACAGAGACTGCATGTTTTCAAATGCTATAAAAGGCCTCATAAGATAACAATCACTCTGACGGAGGACAGTGTGAAGAAACGAGTTGCTGACAAACCTGGCAGTTCTGAAACCACCATGAGTGTAAATAGCATGCAACTTTTCACCAGTCTGTGAAACCGAGGAAGCTTCATGATTAAAAAAAGAGAAACATTCAAGAGTTTAAAATGTTCAGTTGCTTTTTCCTTGAGAACAAATTAGGCTGACTACACTCTAGGACAGGGGTGTCAAACTCATTTTGGTTTAGGGGCCGCATTCAGCTTAATCTGATCTGCAGGGGGCCACACAAGTAAACTCATTGCAAGATTAAATAGAACCAATAAAAGTGGACTTGTTGATTTTATATTATACGAATTTCACTTTTACAAAATATATTATGAATAATCTCTGTTTTTAAGAAAATTATCTGCAATTTCAACAATACTTTTACTCAGTTAAGCATTTATTTAAGTGCATTAGAACTGATCTCAGTAATTGTACAATGTTGCAAAACATTTATTCACAGTTTTTGGAGCTTAAAAACACTGTGCTGCATCACAAAATACAACAGACAAAAATTAAGAAAAGATTTAAAATCAATTTTCAACATCTGGGAAGCAATTTGAACAAATTATCTGGTTTCACACATTTGAAATCTTAAGTGTCAGCTGTTTTAAACAGACATTTGATCAAATGTCTGTTTTAAACAGACATTTGTTGATGCATAAAATGCATACATATAGAAAAACGTGCATACATAACATATATGTATGTATGTATGTTAGCATGCACGAGAAATATGAGGTTGCCAGGGCCAAAATAAAAAGCTGGTAAAGCAAAGAATCGAACTTGTTTACAGAACCTGAAGCTCAGTGCTGCCATCTGCTGTTAGTTCTGCTGCAGTGTTGCATCATGTTGTGTGCTCTGAATAAAACACAGCGCCCCTCGTGGACAGTATAACTGCAGATTTTCAATTAAACGAAGTATATGTTTTTACATGAATAATGAAAATGCATTTAGCCCCCGGGCCGGACTAAATCGTTCGGCGGGCCGGTTCCGGCCCGCGGGCCGTACGTTTGACACCCCTG